TCATAGGTGGGCATCCTAAGACTCAGTCCTACATCTATCTGTTCATTTGGGGGAATTCTCAGCCAGTCCTTTGCTCAGTTGCACATATTGATCACCTTTCAAGTCATTGTTAAATCACTATGGGCTTTAAGATGGATAGGATTTGGTGCCTGTCTTCAAGGACACGGGAGTTTAGTGGGGTAGACACTAGAAAACAAAATAAAAATAATCACAGTCAAAGAAGAAAGATAAGGACAATCTATTTTGTCCAGGACAGGGAAAACTCAACCCTGGCAAGGATGTGGAGAAAAGACAACCATTATATACTCTTTATGGGAATATAAATTAGCACAGAAACTATGCATATCAGTATGAAGGCTCCTCAAAAAAGTCAAAATAGGGGCTAGAGATATGGCTCAGAGGTTAAGAGCACTGGCTGCTCTTGCAGAGGTCCTGAGTTCAATTCCCAGCACCCACATGGTGGCTCACAATCATCTGTAATGAGATCTGGTGATTCCTTCTGGTGTGCAGGCATAAATGCAGACAAAACACTGTCTACATAATAAATAAATCTTTAAAAAGAAAAGTCAAAATAGATAAAGCCAATAGTTCAGCTATTCCACTCCTGATATATACCTGGAAAAATAAAACAGGCCTACAAAAGAGACACCTGAATTGTCAAGTTTGTTGCCACACTATCCACAATGATTATTACAGAATCAGTCTGAGTGCCCATTAACAAATGGATAATGGAAATGAGGTACACAGATTAGTACAGTGGAGTATTATTCAGCCATAAAGAGTGAAATCTGTCATCTGCAGCAGAATGGAAGGGCCTGGATGCTACCATGCTAATTGAAATTAGTCAGAAACAGGAAGTCAAATACAGCATGCTCTTTTTATATCTGGAAACTTAAAAATTGTAGATCTGAAAGTAGAAGAGCAATTATTAGGGATTGGGAAGGTAATGGGGCATAAGAAGGATGGTTCAAAATGATTGATGCAGGTTGCATTCATATAAGGCAACAATACACTGGCCTCACTCAAATGCTGGAGATCTACAAAAGTCAGGAGTCACTCTCTCCATAGGATTTTTTAAGACTTCCCAGCGCACTGAAATGTGCAATTAACATGTGTTAATAAAACTGTTCTCAGAAAGAATGTGACACAGTCCTTAAATAAGTCACGTCTTGTTAGGTGGAAGAATGGAAGCAAGTGTTTTGGACTGAGGAAGAGATCTAAAGGAGGGAAATGAATGCTGATAGGGGCAAGTTCTCCTAGAACATCATGTTTAGGCTTTGCATTCTCATAGAAGAAGACCTTCCCTGGCTCCCATAAGAACTCTGGATGTATTCCTGCATGCCACTTCTCTGGTTTTGACTAATCTTCAGGAATATATACTCTGTGAAGACAGAACAGCCCATGGCGGTAGTGGTAGTGAAAAACAAAACAATAACAAAATAAAACGAACAAAAAAAACAGATATAGCAGAGGCTAACAGAAAGGAGTCATAATGATGGCCACATTTATTTTCTCCACTGATGTATGTTGTCGAGAACAAAACACTGGAGTCAGACAACACTCGGTTTGAATTGTGCTCTGTCATTCCTTAGTTTTATGACCTTGACTGATTCTCTTCAATTCTCTGAACCTTACTATCATTATTGTTTTATATTTCTTTATTATTTTGGGAAGATGTGGTGGCAGCTAAGATCAAATTATGACAAAATTGCTAACGTGTTCTAGTGGCTGTATTAGGATCTTTATTGTATTAGGATGGTTTCTTTTATCCTTTTTTTTAGTCTTAGGGACCAAAATCAGGGTTTTGTTTTGTTTTGTTTTGTTTCTTACAAACTAAGAAAATAATCTTCCACTGAACTGCATATCTAGCCCTGCAGGATGCATTTATGCTTTCCCTGTCAAGATGGAAAAGGAAAGTATTCCTGGGTTCTAGAGGTTGGCAGCCCTGGGCTAGCATCCCACTGGTTCCACTCCCAAGTAGTATGGCCTCACAGAAGCTACTTCACCTCTTTGAAACACTCACTTCTCTTCTTTGAAAAATGGTACGCGATGCCTCTGTCAGCAGGGCTGCTGGGAAGTTTAAATGAGATAACAGATGGAAAGTTCCTGGCATAGAGGAGGTCTGCTGCCAAAAGTAGCCACTATTATTTCATCTGAAAGCTTTACCTCCTAACCTTCGAGCTTTTAAGGTTCATTTGTCAAAATTGGAAAATGTGGCCTCATTAGAACCATCCTTTGGTGCACACTCTCGTGGCCAGAGATAGGAGATGTTCTGTATCCCAATGGACCTTGCTGGTAACTTTGCTCTAAAACGTTCTGTTTTTTTTTTTTTTTTTTTGGTTTTTCGAGACAGGGTTTCTCTGTGCAGCTTTGCGCCTTTCCTGGGACTCACTTGGTAGTCCAGGCTGGCCTCGAACTCACAGAGATCCGCCTGGCTCTGCCTCCCGAGTGCTGGGATTAAAGGCGTGCGCCACCACCGCCCGGCCTCTAAAACGTTCTTGCTTCAACATCTAAACCTATACACAATCCATTCTTTTCATTTTTTAAAATCCAAACTCTCAGGTCTATCCTTAGTTTCTTGATCCTACCCACCAGGTCCAACATAATATTTACTTTGGTGATGAAGCTAATGGAAACACAGAACAAGTGTCTGCTGTGGGGTTGTGGTCTAACACCATGGTTCTAGGAAACAGAAGCAAGAGTATGAAGAACACCCACCAGTTACTCCCAGACCCACCCCTAACTCTACAAGGTGAGCCACCTGCCTCCTGTATGCCTTCACCACTCTCTACTTTCCATCACCTCTACCCCACTGTTCCATCCCCCAAAGAAGGACTACAATGGAGGATTATACTATACGAATGATGCTTCCTTCCAAATTTGGATTGCTCATGACAAGTCTAGTCATTACAGTTGTAAATAAGAAGGCAGACAGGAACAGGTGAAACACCTTAGCAGGTTGAAGATGAAGCCAACAGCAATTGCAGGGTTTCAAACCGTTCCTGTGCTTCCAAGCATCAGGAGTTGATAGCAAACCCTGCCTAGGGGGCCTTCTAGCTACCCACCAGCTACACGGAGAAGTGATACCTGTTGTCTAAGAACCAGAAGGCAAGGGAAATGGAGCAGGTTTTCCAGCCTCTAGCTTCACGGCCCATTCACTCTGGACAGCCTTGCATGCCGTTTCCATGGAGTTGCTCCTTCCTTAGGGCCAGTGATGCCAAAGCCAGCAAAGGAGAAGTCCCCTGAAGAGCTCGCAGAAGGGCAGCCTAGCAACCTATCCTTAAGCCAGGAAATGAAAGAGCTGTATCAGCGGCTGAGAGCTGTGGTGTGGGTTAGGTCAAATGGTGTTTTGTTTCTAACACTTCTTCCTCAAGCAGGTGTTGAAAGGGAAGATGTTTTGAAGATTGTAGGGCAGTGGTTCTTAACTGTTTGGGGGCCACAGGCCCATCTGAAAGTTCACAGAGTGATGGCATCAGAAAGAAGGGTTCAAATCCTTTGCATGCAATTTCAAGAAAGATTTGAGGTAGGGACTTCTGTTCTGGGACTAAATTTCATACAAATAGGCTATGGACAAACATTTAAGTGGCAGGCCCATTTTTTTTGATAGCCTTCAGTATGGTGTGCTGTTTAGAACAGCGGTTCCCAGACTCTCTACAACCCAGAATCAATTATAGCTGCAGGTAAAATACAAATGACAGTTTTCATCCCCAGTCCCAGGAAAGCCACACACATCCCCACAACTGGAGGCCAGGAATGCGAATTTCTAACAAGCCCTCAAAAATCATTCTGTGATAGCCAGCTGGGCACCCATACTTTAGTTTGTAGCATGAATTCTGGACTGAAAGCTCTGGCTTCACCCTGTGATTTTAGACAAGTCATCTCTGAGCCTGATTTCCTTTGGGGTCCTAGAGAAGTGCTGATGTTTTTATAAACAGGTGGTTTAACTTTGTGTAAAAAATGTGAGCAGAAAACTGCCTCAGCTTCCTCCTTGGTATAATGGGTATCATGAAGGTTGCCTTCCTCTTCTTTTCCATCTCTTCTCAGTCCCCTCCTCAGCGCCACTGTCACCTTAGCAAAGCTGCAGAGACAGTCTGTGGAGATGTATGTAAGAGTGAAAAATGCGCTCTCTGGGCAGACAAGCAGGGCAAAGTGTTGGCATCAACACAGAGGAAAACACTGCCATCAACAGAACCACAGACCGGCTAGCAAAATCCGACGCTATTAGCTTATTTGCTAATAGCGTCGTCCTGCATGATACAGGACAAGATGCCCAAGCTCATGGTGGCTCAGTTTTCTCATCCGTAAGTTGTAGACAACAATTCATTAATTTTAGATAGCCCTAAACGGGTCCTTTCATCCTCATTTTGGCTTTTGTCCACTAACCCTTAATCTGACACCAGAGAGGGGTTAGACGCCAGGGCTTGAGTGTGAGCTGTTAATTCTGTACTTCCTACCCATACTGCCTAGGTGCTTATATCCCCCTCTCTGTTAAATGGGCACACTGCGACGTTTTATCACAAGACTGGTGAGAAGAATAAATGAGATGTCTGTGCAAGCGCGCTGGCACACAGAAAGCTCTCAGCAAATGCTACCCCTCTTCCCCCTATACAAAGGTGAAGAACTCTCATTGTTCACTTGCTTTCGGTCCCACCTCGTGTTTAAGTCATCGGGTCGCAAAGCAGCGGAGGAGAGCCAAGGCAGAAGGCGATAGGAAGAAGGGAAGAGAGGGGAAGCTGCAAACTCACGAATGAAATGTAAATGGGCCAGGTCCGTGAGTCCGAGCTGCACTTGACGCCGCGCCCGCTCCCGCGCCAGTCTGCCGCAGCCCCCTCCAGCAGGTTCCCCCCTCTGGCAGGCATTAGCATCCTGGCCCAGGCTTTGCGGGGAGGCCGCCCCCGCGCACCGCTGATTGGCCGCGCCACTGCTCTCGTCACGCTCTTTTGTCTCAATGGGCAGAGGCTAAAAGCAGCTGCTGCAGCTCTGCAGGCTGAACTGGAGAGCGGGCGGGGGCAGCTGCAGCTGCCTTGGAAACCGCGGCGGCGACTGCGTTATCCCTGGCTGGGCAGCCCAGCGCCATTGGGTAGCCTAGACAGCTCAGTGGCTGAGGCGCCATCCTTTCTCTGCAGGGCCTAAGAAACGACACAGCTATTCCTGGCGCCGGATCAGCCATCCGCCCTTCATCTTCGGAGTCCAGGTAAAGAAAGGGAGGCGCAACCGCATAATGTGGAGATGGGAGGATGAAACCTTACCATTTGGGGCTTCAGAACAGGCAATTTCGAGACAAGGAAGCGAACACCCCAGTGATCGGGCTACATGGTGGGAGGAGGTGAGCTAAGGGTAGGATTTGCCTTGATTGGAGAGAGGACTCTTTTTTTTTAATTTTTTTTATTTTATTTATTTATTTTTTTCCAGGAAGGTAGCAAAGGGCAGAGGGGAAAATTCACAATTGGTCTGTTCTGAAGTCCCTTTTCTCTCAATTCTTCGGGGATAGATACGGAGGTGGGAGGGTATCCAACCTCTCTTCTTTTTCTCCATGGCAGCCCATCAAAGCCGATTGCAAACTTGAATTCTGTGTGGCTGATTGCGGAACTGGTAGGCCGCTGGTTTCCCGGGTGAAGCATATTGGGGGAGGGGTGGGCCTTTGGCTTTTATTCTGTAGGGTTTTTCCTCCTGGCAACAATGGAGTCGCTGAAGGAAGGATGAGACAGCTTCTGACGTCTCAAACCCTCCTTCTCTTCCCTTCCCTTTGCTGTGGCGCAGTCTAACCTAGAGGTTCAGAGGACCCGGATCTGAGAAGCCTGTGGACAGAGATCAACCCTACCCAGGACCAGAACTCTCACGGAAAGCACCTGTTGCAGAGGCTGCATTAAATAAAGGTGAAGGCCAGTTTTCGAGATCTGGGAAGAATCAAAAAAGGGGGAGGGGAGCGTTGTGACCTAATATCTTTTCAGGCCTTACTCATTAACATAATTCTGTGAGGCTTACTCTATTGCCCTCTATTTTGAGAGCCTAGCATGGGCTCCAACGGCTATGGCAGCTAGAATTCCAAGCAACAGTTGCTGCCTCTCCTAGAGAACAGGCGGTACAGTGGGGAGGGAGTAAATGTGGCTCTGACAAAGGCCTCACTAGCACAGAGAAATCTTCCTGCTCCTCAAGGTTGTAAGTGTCAGTTTTCCTGCTGAGTAGTTTTAGGGCACTGGGCAAATATATAAGACTGTAGAAAATGTGATTAGAAGCTTCTTTCCAAGTCCACTGTGGTTTTGAGCTTTTTTTTTTTTTTTTTTTTTTTTTCTTTTACAGTTCCTACCCAAACACGAGGGAGATACTGCCCAGGAACGTTGCTGCTGATTGCGCTGCTTTTGTTCCCAGAGAGCCCAAGCATCTTGTATTCAGATATCCAATTGTCAGACATGGCTAGCATCCTTGCTCGGATGGGTAACAGCCGAAGGCAGAATTCGGCTTTTCTGCCTTTGGCCCATTCCATGCTGAGGGCCCTGGGGAGGAGTCTTGGTCCTTTGATAGCCAACATAGCAGAGAGAAACTTGAAGCTGTTCTCTGGGAGGGCAGAGCTGGCCCAGGGGGAAGAAACCTTTGAGAACTGGCTAAGCCAAGTCCATGAGGTCCTGCCAGAATGGCATATGCCTGAGGAGGAAAAGCTCAAACGCCTGATGAGAACCCTTAGGGGCCCTGCCCGGGAGATCATGCGTTTGCTCCAGGCTTCCAATCCCGATCTAAATGTGGCAGATTTTTTGAGGGCAATGAAGTTGGTGTTTGGGGAGTCTGAGAGCAGTGTAACAGCACAGGGTAAATTTTTAAACACCCTGCAGGCACATGGAGAGAAACCGTCCCTGTATGTGATCCGTTTAGAGGTGCAGCTGCAAAATGCTATTCAGGCAGGGGTCCTTGCTGAGAGAGACGCAAACAGGATTCGACTGCACCAGCTCCTTGTAGGGGCTGAGCTGAGTAGGGACCTGCGCATCAAGCTTAAGAGTCTTCTCCAAATGCATGCGCATAATGAGCAGGAATGCCTTCCTGACTTCCTGGAGTTAATCAGGATTGTAAGGGAGGAAGAAGAACGGAATGACCGTTTGCTTGCTCATAAGCGGCCCAGAAGATCTGAGTCAGTAATGGAGAGGGCCACCAGCCCTGTCGTATTTCAGGGCTCCCTGCCTATAGTGATAGGCGGTGCTGATTGCAATGTCATAGAGATAGATGATTCCCAGGATGACTCAGATGAAGACGTGATCCTGGTGGAGTCTGTGCCTCCACTGTCCTCCTCCCTCAGAGGCAGAGACACTATTCAGGATCAAATGCTAGCTATTGAATCCCCCAACTATTTTGATGATGAGTCTCCTTCCACTAGCAGTGGTTCTGGGCAAAGGAATAATGGGCCTGGGGATCTGCGGAGAAACAGAAAGCGAAAGTATCCAATCCGCTGCCCCCACTGTGGTGAAGAGGGCCACGCAAAAGAAACCTGTGACAACACCAGCAACAAGGCCCAGGTTTTTGAGAATCTGATAGTCACTCTGCAGGAGCTGACTCATATGGAGAGATCAAAACCCTCTACACCATTCTAAGGTGTGAGATTCAGCCCCAGATCAGTGTTTAACTCTCCTCAGAAACTTATTCTGAAAGAAACAGGTATGGGGTGGGCTTCGGAAGGAGTTAATTCAAAACCAGTTTGCTTGGGGAAGGAAAAGCAGACTTGTATACCATGTAATGGAGAGGGATGGCCCCCCCATCATTCCTTGCTTATTCATTCCTCTGATTGCTTAATGGTTGTTTCCCTGTGTGTCTTTCTCTGGTGATTTTAGTTTGTTCACAAAGTGGTATCCTTTTGAACCTTCCAAGTGAAAAAAAAGAAAAAAATTTAAAAAATTTAAAAAATTTAAAAAAAAGCAAAAGTACATGTTACCTGAAATTCTCACCCTGATACATTGTCAGCCCTTTGGTGAATGTCTTATGTATTTCCCTGTACCTGTGTGCCTAGATATAAGTGTATAGGTAAAAGTGATCAAACAAGTAAGTGCTGTTGTATATGTATTTTTTCATCAAGCAGTATATATTGTGGACTTCGAAATAAATGACTATATAAGCATCGAATTTAATGTCATGCATACTATATCTTTGGGGATGATCAAAACTGAAACTAACTGTAACAGTTACAGTAGGGGTGTTTTACTTAGAGGTAAGCTGGGAAGCTGAGATGAGCTAAGTCTCTCTTCAAAGCCTCCTCTAACTGGCCTGCCTCCAGGCTCATAGAGCCATCTCAATGGCCTCAAATGTATCGTGTGAAGTCTGACCATGGGTCAAAGAGGGGCCATCCCTGTCCATCTGTTTCTGCCTCACCTCTTGGCCTGAGATCAGAGGCTGAAGATGACATCTGATATTTTTCTTTGAGCATTTTCCTTATGGGTACATTAGTCTTTATACTAAGAAGACTAATGGAGAGTGATTTCATGTAAGGCTGACAGGAGAGTGTAATGAAAGCTGATCTAAGGATCTGAAGCATTTGTAAAAGATTTATTTTTATTTGAAATGTAGGACTTTTTGCCTGCCCCGGCCAGTGGGGTGTCAACGGGGGTGACCCACCTGTGGGAGAGAATGAGAGGGATGGGGGAGACACGAGAGAAGACAGCAAGACAGTGTGTTCTGATCAAGCTGCAAATTTTATTCTCCTCAGCAGGGCTTATATAGCATGGGAGGGGGAGGGGAGGAGGGAAGGGGTGCACGACGTGCCATACGTGCAGGTGAAGGGGGACGTGCAGGTGAGGGGCTACGTGCAAGTCGTGAGGCTGCTAGGTGGTAAGGTCACTGGTCAGGGCCCATTGTTCTGTTGCTATGCTACCTGACCTGCCCGACCTGTTCTTTATCTTTGGGGGCATCCGGTTTAGGGTAGGGGCTTGTTCTCTGGCCCAGCTAGTACTTTTCCATGGTCCATGTTTGGTCTCTGACATCTCCCCCTTCTATACGTATAGCAAAACAAAGAAAGGAGGCCCAAATGTTTTTGCCATGACGGGAGAGGGGTAACAGAGGCTCTATCCCTGATAGGTTCCATTATCGGCTGTCGGTCCATGCAGGCGTCCCCACATGCCCCGAAGGAGGCTGGAACGATGCAGTTTTTACAGGGGGCGGGTTTGAATTCGGGAGGAAAGGGTATAGGGTCTGCATAACCGCCATGCAATAGAGCATGTCATCCAAGGCACCCAGGATGGTGGAGCACTTTAGTCTCCCTGCCTTCTGCAGTCCCGGCTGCACCCTCAATCCCCTATGCAGTGGGCTCCAGCCTCCAGGCACAGGTGCATCCTCCCCTGGGCAGAGGGGCCTGTGCTGATATGGAGTCTGTATCTGGTTCATCGAGACCACGATCATGGAGATCGAGGCGATGGGAATGAACCTGAATTTGTTTTGCCTGAAGTTCGGCCAGCTGACCGCACACAAATCGAGTTAGTCGAGACAAGGCTCAAGGGCCGAATGTCAAGACAAGAATGAGGCCAACCAAGGGTCCCAGAAGGGACGGCAGGAGGGTGGTTAGCCAGGGAGATGCAGAGAACCAATTTTAGAACCAGCCTAGCTCTTGATCTCTTTCTTTTCTGAGCTTCTCTAAGCCTTCCCGGACCTTGGCCATGCTATCCCTTGCTACTCCTGTGTGATCAGTATAAAAGCAGCACTCTTCCTTAAGAGTGGCACACAGACCTCCTTGCTGTAAAAAGAGGAGGTCGAGCCCTTGGCGGTTTTGGAGGACCACCTCTGAAAGGGAGGTGAGGGAGGATTCAAGGGCGGAAATGCCTCGCTCAAGCTGCCCTATATCCTCATCTATGGAAATTCTAAGCTCTGAATAATGTTGATTAGATAAAACTAGGGAAGCTATGCCAGTACCGGTCCCTGCAGCCCCGACCCCCAGGAGGACAGCCAGAGTGACTGCAGTCATGGGTTGGGGCATCCTACGCTTTCCTCCCTTCAATAAATTTTGCAATTGTGGGCGGTCTGACCCCACCCCCAGAGAAGAAAAAGAAAATTTGTAGGTGGGAGATATAAACTGTAGTCAGGTTGTATTCCTCCCAGTCCTTCTTGGCTTGTGGGCGTTGGCAAATGTTGATCGCGCGCTATCACCGCCGGCATGATCTCCTGAAGCTTATAAGAACCTTCTTAATAGACAAAATCTTAGACATGTTAGCAATATAACAGTGGTGAACTTTATCAGAGCAAAATTATGAGTCCTTGGAGCCTCAACAAAACATCATGATAGCCAGAGAATGAAATCTGAAATATGTCATTTATATATCTCTCAAGTCTCATATATATTTTGACAAAAATTAATAAAATACATTTAGAACAGAATTATTCTAATCATATTTCTATAAGTTTTGATGAACAGTTCATCAAAAGGATCTGGAATTGTATCAATTTACCTATATTTAAGGCTCAATATTTAAGAATCTAGAGGTAAATAACAGCCTGTATTCAGACTGGTAGCTTTAGAGCACCTTTGTCTTGCAGCTGCCAATATATGGTGTGACCAGGCAATCCAGGATTCATAAAGGCGGGTCAATGTCCTATAAAGACATGTATCCTCCTCCTGACATTATGAAAACATCAGGACCTTTTTAAATATCAGTGAGGAGATCATAGAGGCTTAGGTGTAACTTTGTGACTTGGCCTGGTGGTGATGAGGAATACCTGTAGTGGAGGATATGAAAAATTAAGCACCAATTCTTAAGAGCTCTTGAAGTATATGTAAGGCTGTTGTCTATATATGAGCTCAAGGCATTCCTAAGATTAAAAGGCCGTGAAAGAAATGGTGTATTACTTTTTTTTATTTTATAACTATAAATCATAAGGACATAAGCCTCGTGGGTAAGCTTCCATAGGGAGAGAATTTATTATTGTTGAACAGACATATGAAAAGGTGTATCCTGTAGAGCTAGTTGCCATTTTATAGACTCACAAGTTTTATAGTTTGATATAAATATACCATCTGTACAGTAAATGTATTGTAAGATATATGTACATACATATACATGTATACATACATATAGGTTGAGGGACTATGAAGAAGCTATAATTGACAGTTAGTTTTGATAGTTAATCTGTATATATAATGAGGAACTTTGTTCAGTGAATGAGTCCTGGATAAACATAACTTGCATTTCCTGCTCTGTATGTCAGCTTTGGCCTCCATCATGGTAGGGTGAGTAGGCAAGTTAAAAGTGAAATGCTGACAATCTTTAGGTTGAGGAGGAATGGTAAAGAAGCAATCTTGTATATCTATGACGATTATTATTATTATTATTTTTTATTTCTGGGGATGGCCCTGGGAGATGGCAAGCCAGGTTGTGAGACTTTCCTTGGGTTTAATAAATTTTATTTAATTTTTAAGGACCTGTAACAGTCTATAAGCCTGATTTTCCTAAATAAAAAGATATTGGGGTGATTTAAGGGCTGGTGCCTTAAATCATTGCCTTAAATATGCCCAATATTTAAGTTTTTCCTCCACCAGACAGGTAGCAATTATAATTTTCTCAGCATTTAAAAGCCATTGTTTGATCCAGATAGGAGCATTAGATTTTCCTGACCTTCTGGCTACATTATTAGCTTGACCTAGGCCTGTAAGAGACGAAGAAGTAATAGTCATCTTAAGTACTTGGCCAATCTTTTTCTGAAATATAAGAAACATCTATGTTTATGTCTAGCAAGCCAATTATCTTCTTTCCCTATATTTTAAGTGTTTAGTTGTTTGGAATATTTAATTTCCTGAACCCAGAAGGCCATATCACTAGAATCCACACCAGCAGCTCCCTTAGGCGCTGCCCTGTATGAATCTGAATTGTACAATGATCTTAATCTCTCCAGTAAAGTCAGAATCGCACATCCCTAGGACAACCTTGTACAGTCGAGGAGCTACGGCCTATAATTAGCACCAGTGTCCCTTCTGAGGAGGTCCATAGACTTTTGTATTAAGGTATACATAAGTTTATTTTTAAAGCCTATATATCTATCTCAGACCTCAATAAAAACCTTATCCATAGATCTAACTTAGGCATATCCTCAATATCTTTAGGTTACTTATTGAGATTTATGTATCATTTATAACATATCTAGATGTTTATATGTTATATTTTTCTATCCCAATGACTTGCATTACACATATAATAAACTATTTTTTAATGTTCTTAAACATTCTTTATATCTAATCCTTTATATCCTATAAAAACTTTACATCTAAAAGCATTTTTGTATTTATCAGGAGATATAGGTGATTGATTACTGAGAGCAGCCAATGTGGTGAATTCCTTTAAATAAAAGAACAAAGTTTATTTCGAAATCTGTTTGGCAAGCTACCTTTTCTATGAATTTGGATAGCAAGGCAAATTATCTTTTAGGCTTGGTAAATGGGAATATAATCTAAATGATCTCAAAGCATATAGTTTGGACAAAACCCTGACAATAAGGGTTATGACAGTTTTGTCCAAAGCTTAAACATTTTAAATGCTAGGGGGCTAAGTAATGAATTGATTATATGAAATTTAGCATACTCAGCATGTATATAAATATGATTTTGCATACATTAGAAGATTTGATCATTTATGATGATTAACCCTTTATTTGTATCCTAATAATTATCTCTAATAGCTTATAGCTTAAGTACAACTTATCCTTAACAGTTTACAGTTTAGGTCGGCCGATCAATCAGTAAGTTTTATTTCTTAATTATCTTTAATTAAAGTAAACTTATTCTTAACAATTTATAAGTTAGTTGTCTTTATAAACTTAGAACTTAGGTTTTATACCTGTCAGGTTTAGCCTTAAAAATATTAAGTTTGTACTGAAGTTATTTTAATACAGAAACAGGAACTCTTATTCAAAATATAATATATGAGGAGAGTAACACATTAATAAATCCTTTAAGGAGTATCATGAAATGAGATAAGCACAGTAAAACAAAGGAGGATTTTTTTTTTTTTTTGGTAGCAGCTGCACCCAGTCTGTATCAAGCCAGATAGCCACCAGAAATGGCAAGGTGAGGAGAAGGGTGGAGACAACTCACAGGCAGAAGTGAGCTGAGATGCAGATAGCAGATAGTTAGGTTCAGAGGGAAGAAAGCAGATGTTTAAGATTCCAACCTCCAAACGTCTTCGGAGGTCTGATGAATCCATACAGGTCTTAGCAGGGCGTCCCCTAAGCAGGACCTGTTTTTGCGATGAGTTAACTGAAGTTCTTGTACTTGGTCAAGATTTTTGTAAATTACCAAGAACTTAAAAGTCAACCCAGAAAGAGGAAAGAGAGAGAAAAAGACACTTTTTTAGGAGAGCTGGGAGTTGCCATTAGTTTTTAAACCGGCTCTGGCTGTGGCGCTTGCATTGTTATTTAAATGATGGTTGCTGGAGTGAGCTCCTAGTTAGCAATTTAGAAGTTTAGGCTCAAGTTGGTCCTTAGATCCATTTAGTTTGAGCACAAAAAACCTGTTTGTAGCAGCACACTGCTGCTATGGAGAACATAGTGAACTTCATTAACTCTAGTTTACACTCTCAGGAGGTCTGGTAGTGTGATAATATTGTGTTACCTCCTTGTAAGACCCTGAATGAAGTAACGGCAGTTTTCTCCCTAAAAGGTTGGCAGCTTTTAGGTGTCTCCTAAATCTTTTTTTTTTTTTTTTTTTTTTTTTTTTATAAACCTTTAGGATATCCTTAACATCAATCGTCCCTTCTTGGGGAAACCAGGAACAACAGTCCTCTAAGTGACTAAAGAATTTGTTGAGGTCTTTTTTTTTTTTTTACAAACCCTTATCCCTCGTGTCTTGAGGGCCTCTTTAAAGCCCTTAAGGAAAAAGGTAATGGGAAGAACTTCCCCATCCCATGGTTAAGCCTAAATTTAGACTAACCTCGTCCTTCCCGCTCTCCTCCGGATCGTCAAGAAAGGGCGTCGAGTCGGGCGGTCTCAACGGACGATCACCAAAAATATCTCCACCAGACGTCTGGGCTTTCCCGGAGAAGGACGTTCAACTCCCGACAAGGCGAGGGTTGAGCCACCACGTTGGGCGCCAGTTGCCCCAGCCAGCGGGGTGTCAACAGGGGTGACCCACCTGTGGGAGAGAATGAGAGGGATGGGGGAGACACGAGAGAAGACAGCAAGACAGTGTGTTCTGATCAAGCTGCAAATTTTATTCTCCTCAGCAGGGCTTATATAGCATGGGAGGGGGAGGGGAGGAGGGAAGGGGTGCACGACGTGCCATACGTGCAGGTGAAGGGGGACGTGCAGGTGAGGGGCTACGTGCAAGTCGTGCAAGTCGTGAGGCTGCTAGGTGGTAAGGTCACTGGTCAGGGCCCATTGTTCTGTTGCTATGCTACCTGACCTGCCTGACCTGTTCTTTATCTTTGGGGGCATCCGGTTTAGGGTAGGGGCTTGTTCTCTGGCTTAGCTAGTACTTTTCCATGGTCCATGTTTGGTCTCTGACATTTGCCTGCATATATTATGAGCCTATAGAGGCCGGAAGAGGGTGTCAGATCCCCTGGAACTGGAGCTTCTAAGGGGTAGGTACTAGAACTAAATCTAGGTCTTCAAGGACATAAAGTGCTCTTAACTGCTGAGATATCTCTGCAGCCTCAATCTGGATCGTTTTACCCCAATATAATAGGGTTTGCACAGGTCCAAGAGAGAGTGTGCAGCTGTGGCAGCTGGCATGTCAGGGAGAGGAAGCACACAGCTGGCCAGGTAGAAACAAGGACAGAGAGAGCTCATGCTGATCAGGATGGAAGGCAGGCAGAAACAGGAAGTCTAGTAACAATTGTAGACAGCAAGTTTCACACAGAACCTAGGTCACTGTGGTCTGTGGTTGAGACTCGGGTTATGTTAGTAGGCTCTATGGCCCACTCCATAGGGACAATGGGAGCTCAGGCTGAGGCCCCGAGTGAGGAGTAGGGGCCAGCTGCTACATGCAACCTATCCAGGCTTCTCTGGGATGCCGCACTCACAACTTGCCTTCCAGTGCTTCTGCTAGAATCACCCTACTTGGCTCTACTTGGGTCTGGCCCTCTGGTCCTGTTTCACCTCCCCCCACCAATATCATTTTCTCCCCCTTTGCTGAAGCCACACTCATTTCTTTTTCTTTCTTTTTTTTGGTTTTTCGAGACAGGGTTTCTCTGTATAGCTTTGCGCCTTTCCTGGAACTCACTCTGTAGCCCAGGCTGGCCTCGAACTCACAGAGATCCGCCTGGCTCTGCCTCCCGAGTGCTGGGATTAAAGGCGTGCACCACCACCGCCCAGCTGCCACACTCATTTCTTGATGATGAAGGAGGAGTTAATCGTCTTTGCTCTGCCCATTATTGTAGCTGGAGTTTTCTGGTCCTGCCTGGCCCACAGTCAGAACAAATCTCTCTCACCCGCCATTCCGCAGCCGCTTAGACCCAACCGAGTAAACACACAGAGACTTACATTGCTTACAAACTGTATGGCTGCAGCAGGCTTCTTGTTATCTGGTTCTTCTATCTTAAATCAACCCATTTCTATTCATCTATAAGTTGCCACGTAGCCCGTGGCTTACCGGTATCTTAACATCTTCTCATGGTGGTGGCTGGCAGCGTCTCTCTGCCTCAGCCTTCCACTTCCCAGAAATCTCCTCTCTCCTTGTCCTGCCTATCCTTCCTGCCTGGCTACTGGCCAATCAGTGTTTTATTTATTAACCAATCAGAGTAATACATTTAACATACAGAACATCCCACAGCCCATTACCACCTCCCCTGCTCCAGCACTTCATGTTATCCAAAAGCCTCAGCCTCCTTAACTTTCAAGACCAGGAGGAGAGTAGAAGGGCTTGTGTTCCTGGGATCCTTTGGCTGAGAACTTGCCAGGGGCAAAGGTTCAAGGGACCCATTTATTGCATCCTTCTGGAATAATTCTGGGCTTCTCACACTCACTTCCGTATCTCAGGAGCTAAAGTGTGTGTGTGTGTGTGTGTGTGTGTGTGTGTGTGTGTGTGTGTGTGTGTGTGTGTGTGTGTGTTGGGGGGGTGGTAATCCCCTCCCTCTTCCTGCCTAGGTCCCTCAGACCTCCACAGCTAGAGGATCCTCCTTAACCCTCTTTCAAGTTTACAGCTTTTTCCTCTTCTCTAACACTCTCAAATCTATCCTGAATCCCAGATTATAAGATTATTTCTGCCTTGGCTGCTCACCTTTTCACAGTCTTATGCTATGGTTTTGGGTGACTTCCTCGGGTTTACACTTTGTGCAGCCATAATTTTCCTCAGAAAGTAGGTAAATTTCAAAAGAAACCCATGCTGTGGGCACCACGGCCATTTTTTTCATTGCAGTTGCCTGGGAGATTCAGTATAGATGAGTGATCTGAAAACCTCTGTCATTCATCTTCTTGGCTTCCTTCCCCGTCCTTTTAACTACACAAACCTGAAAGTGTGTGAATTTTTATTTCCCCCAAAACGATGCAAAGTGTTTGTTTCTATTTCACTTTGTGGGACACTGAATTTTCCTTTATTCAAGAAATACGTACTAACTGAGTGTAGTGGGGTATGCTTTTATCCCAGCACTCTGGAGGCAGAGGCAGGCAGATCTTCTTGAGTTCAAGGCCAGCCTAGTTTACATAGAGAATTCCAGGACAGCCTGGGTTACATAGTCTCAAAATAATTAAAACAAAAAAAGAAAAAGAAAACTATGTACCTTCAACAGGAAGATACCAAGAGGAGAAAACCTGGCATTTCTGCCTTCGTTTTTTGTGTCTTTCCCCCTTTCCTTTGGGCTACCTGTGAACCTCTGCACACAAGCATGTTCATCATTCAAGGAGTGCCTCCATGCGTCATTCACCTCTCTTTAAGGCACAGAGACAAGTTAGTGTCCTAAACCTACAATCACCATGGGTTTTAGGAACAGCAGAACCTCACAGGAAGGACGTTCCCTCAGATGAGGGCAATTCTCTATGATAGCACAGCTGCGCACTAAGTATAGAAGTAACCAACTCCAGTGAGCCAGACTGAATCTCTCAAGCACTTACAGCAATAAGGACTTCTTCAGACCACCCTGCAGAACCAGAACTGAGGCAATATGGTCAACTAGGTAACACTCAAAGGAGACCTGCTTAATTATGCACACCTCCTGCCCCTTGCCCCAGTCTTCCTCTATTTAAACCTAAAGCTCATGTGGGTACCCAAGAGATAGACTTGGGGGTATCTGTTCCTCTTCCCAATATGGTCACATTGAATAAATCTCTCTCTGCATTTCACTATTACACATCTAATTAGTATTTTAGGGATAGAGCACCTACACTGTGGAGAAACCCTAGCAATGACTGTCCTGTTCAGATTCTTCTTGGCTTCTCTGAGCAGCACAGATCCCTTTGGAATGAGGAGTGTCTTATGACTTATTATAGGTAAAAGGTAATCAGAAAGTTTCTTCATGACATGATCTAAGATAGTCAAATTTGGAGTCAAATTTGAGTGACCATGGCCTTGTAAAAGGGATTTAGGTGCCCTCAAATCCATGTTCCAATGTGGAAGTAATTTCATGGAGTCTTTATGGTAAAAGAACATTTTTACAAACGTGTGTAGGCAGATTTTTCAGTCCCTCCCGCCAGATCCCAAATAATGACATGGAGACTTCTTATTAATTATAAAAGCTTGGCCAATAGCTTAGGCTTGTTTCTAACTAGCACTTATAACTTAAATTAACCCATCTCTATTCATCTACATGTTGCCATGTAATTTATGGCTTTTACCACTTTTCTTGCATTTCCATTCCCTCTCATCTGCTGGTGACTCCACCTTTCTTCTTCCCAGAGTTCTCTCTGTCTCTCTCCCACATACACCTCCTGCCTAGCTAATGTTCATTTAGCTTTTTATTAAACCAATCAGAAGGTGCCTTGGCAAAGACACATATTCACAGTGTACAGAAAGATTATTCTGCAACATTTCCCCCTTTGTGTCTAAAAAGGAAAGGATTTAATATTAACACAGTAAAACTATATACAATAAGAACAATTCTCAGGTAAGAATTATATTTATAATGTTCAATCCATTTGTATTTGGCAATTTCAGAGAAAATACTCCATTATTTATCCTATCTTGGTGAGTCCAAAGTTCTGTATCTAATTTACCTTCTATCATAACTAAGGAAAACTATAGCTACATAGTGAGAACCAATCTCAAACCATCCCCAAACAACAACAAAAAGGAATTGTTCATGTTTTAAATAACTTTCTTCACTTATAATTTTTCACACTGTTTTGGATTATTTTTTGAAATTCTTAGACAACAGGAAAAAAAGATATGATTATGTACTGTTCCTATGGTATGTCTCTTTTATTGCTCATTTTATTGGAGTCATATAAAATTCACATTTTAAATATTTTTAGTGTATAATTCAGTGACATTAAGTACATCCTACAAATTTTTTTTTAGTTCATGCATTTGTCTTTATTTTGGGCAAGTCTTTTGTACATATAACTTGACTTTTAAATTGATTTTTCTATCACTTGTTTTGTCTTCCACCAATCTATAGTCTCTTTTCCTTACAGTATTATTTATTATTTATTTATTTATTAAATTATTGCATTTATTTTCAATCTTTCATTTTACATACAGTATATACCCTTTGGCCATAAAATTACCATTAGGGACTGCTTGAATTGCTTGGAATCTACAAGCTTGCATGAAAGGCAGATTTTTCATTATTATCCAGTTCTGTGTGTGTTGGTTGGTATTTACCCCCATGGTACTTCATACTATGTTCCAAAATTATATGTTCTACTCTAGTCTCTTCTATGGACTCCAGACTCATATAACCAATTGTGCATATCACACACCCACTTGGAATTAAAACAATAAGCAACTTAAACCAAACACCCTCAAAACAGATTTTTTTTTAAAAAAAAAATTAAAATGCTCCCTAGCCTGGAGGGATGGCTCAGCAGTTAAGATCACTGGCTTATCTTGCAGAGGCTCTAGCAAGTTTGGTTTCCAGCACTTGCATTAAGCAGCTTACAACTGCCTGTAAGTCCAGCTTCAGAGGATCTGATGCCTCCTTCTGGCCTTCAGGGGCACTACACATGGTACAGATACAGAGAAGCAACCAAAAAACACTTATACATCTAAAAATAAATAAAATTTAAATAAATTCCAAAAATTCTGCTCCTCTGTTATTTCCATTTCAGTTGCTTCTTTTTCAGCAAATATTACCATAGTTCACTAGCTGTTGAAATCAACAAGTTTCTTTTTAATGCTGAAGATGAACCTAAGTTCTTGTGCATAGGCATGCACTTTACCACTGAATGACATTCCCAATCAAAATCTTAAGATGAGTGTTATCTATGACTCTCCTTCACATCTGTCAACATGCCCCATCATGTATTTCTATAGTTTTTCTTGTGTCTTTCTACTTCTGTCTCCCTTACCACTACCCTCACACACCCCACAATAACATCTCATCTAGACTACCAACCACTCACAAGAGCAGTCCATTCTCTTCCATCCCTGACTTGAAAGATGACTGATCCATCTGATTATATGTACTTGAGTACTCTCAACACTTATTCCCTATTTCTTCAGCATACAAGGGTAATACTAGGGAAATACGTATCATGGTGACTTAAACATTCTATCATTGTTTCTGAAGTATATAAATGGGAGAGATTATAATTGCTGTGAAAACAAGCTGTATGGAAAGCTTGCCCTCCATCCCCAAACATGGAACAGCAATGAGGTCTCCAGATTCAGAATACCTTTAAGAAAAGGAACAATCACTGATCACAGCAATTCTTCTTCCTCAAAGTTGATGCAGACTCTCAGGCTAAAGACCAATGAAAGAATTTTGCCTCAAGATAGTGTATACAGAATTCTGAACCCATAGTTCCAACTACCTCATCTTTACCCTAGCTGAATACCACATCTCTAGATGTTGAGGAGAGCTGGTTCCATGTTCTCCTACTATAATGAAAGGACATCACTACCTTCTTTTGACTACTATAAACCTTCCTTTGGTGGGGCTACACAACTTCTCAAGGATATATTGGTGAAAAAGAAGATAATTGCTTTAGTTTGAACAAGCAAAGCTGTGCTAATTAAGTCATGTTCTCAATGCACCTTTTGGACTTCATCAGGCAGTGGCTTAGTGGTATACGAAGTTTATTTTTTCAGTGCTAAGGCTCAAACCCAGGGACTTAAATAGAGTAGGCAAGTGGTCTACCCTTGAACTATATATAGCTCTGCTTTTAGAGAAATTATATTTCTATTATAATATACTATATTATGTATCAAGGTGGTTAACCAGGGTTTTGTACCCTGGAATGGTAAATAAAGGAAGGAAAGGCATGATTTGGGTATTCCTTCCCTTAGCAGGTATACGCATTTGGGAAAACTTCAAGTTCCACATTGGTAAAGCGAAGACAATAACGGGAGGCTCTTCATAGCACTGTAATGAGGTTTAAATGAATCAACATCTGCAAAGGCTTAACTTGAAGATAGATCTCCAGACTCTCCGCACAGAATTCCACTCAAATCAGTAGCCTGAGGAACTCTCCCCCATGTGGAGAAGGAGAGAGAAGTCTGAGAGAAAAATCAAATAGTGCCTCTCCCAGCAGGAACGGTCTTTGCACCAGAAAGGCACTGTAGGATGCTTTGTTAGTTTGGGAGGGGAGGGAAGGAGCTCTGTAAAAAGCTGTGTAGCTCAGGTCTGAAGAGAAGAGGGTTGGTCTGGCTGAGAATGCATAAGTTCCCTGGTTCCTTGGATTCACCTCCCAGTACCTGAAAAAATATGTTCAATGAAAGGGAGTAAATCAAATCTTATGCAAAAAGATAGCTCATATTTTGGAGGATCTGAGCTGGCAAGCCAAGGTGGTGTAGAAGCTCAAGGGCTAGGCAGGATACTTGATGCAAGAGAAATATCAGGGAAATTGTTTTGATAGTTTTTGTATAAGTTGCTAACATTTTATTGTTTGCCCTCTTAAAATAATTTCTTTTAATATTATTTATAAAATATATATTCTATTAAAAAAACAACTTTCAACCATAGAAGGGAGAAAAGTCAATGTGAAAGTTTCCTCCCTCCCTCCCTGTAGTTCTATTTGGTGCATATTCTTCCAAATTTGCTTTTAGATAAACATATGTGACAGATCAAGGCAGTACAGAGATTTTTTTTTCCATCTTGTATTCTTGCTGAGGCCATATTAGGCTTGACTAGAATTTTACCTCTTTGATGGAGAATCCCATGGAAAATTACCCAACTCTGTTAAAGTAAACCAAGATCAAGATGCCTCAGCTAACTTAGCTTCTGTTAAACTGCTTGCTTGTGCAAAACCTTCCCCTCCAGCTATCAGCTTACCTGAGTTTCAGTTAAACCACTTGCTTTCACAAAACCTCCCCCTGCAGGTGCAAAGCAAGATACCAAGATGTGGGTTTTGCCTTTATAAGCCCCTTGCTCTAAATGCTCAGTGCTACTCTTGGGTCCCCAATACCTGAATGTAGTCCCAGAGGGCTGGAATAAAGACTTTTAATTGGCTATAAACTGTGTCTGAGTATTTATCTCCAGTAGGCTCCCTGTAACACAAGACTCATACATATTCTTACTCTTTTCCCATAATAGTTGGGCCATGGATATCACATGGTATTGAGATTTTTCTTTATTCTTTCTATTGTAGTGGAATGGATTGCCTCTGTAATAGTCCTGGTAGGAGCAAAGATATTCTAAAAGAAACCTGTTTCCCTCATTCTGATTATCCAACTACTGAGACAATGAGCTCCAATGAACTGGAATGGCCCAACATTGCAGAGAAATCTTGGATGACTGTCCAGGCAGCCAGCTGTTTCTCTCATTTCTCACAGTTTTTGGAAGTCACTTGTTTGCACTTCCTCCTTACTCAGGTAATATTATTTCCTTCTCAGGTCTCTGAGGGAGTTGAAGATTAGATAGTTTAGTTTTCCTTGTTAACAAATTCAGAAAAGAAACTCACTAAAGAGGTGTAAAATATGTAAGTTTGAAAGACGTCAAAAGATAGTTTTCAGTTGGTAATACAAATTAGGATAGAGAGTGAACTAGGTGCATTTTGGACTCACTAAAATAGGATAAATAATGGAGTTTTTTGTCTGAATTTGTCAAATGTTAATGGACTGGATATTGTTAATGTAATTCTTGACTGTATATATTATATATACTTATTATACTTATTGTGTATAGTTTTTCTTATGTTATAGCCTTGTTTTATTATTTTAGACAAAAAAGGAGAAATGTGGTGATGTATTGTGTACCCTAATAAAGCTTACCTGGGGATCAGAGAACAGAGCCAGCCACTAAATTGGAAATACAGGTCAGGCAGTGGTGGCACACACTTTTAATCCTATCACTTGGGAGGCAGAGATCTGTCTGGATCTCTGGAGTTCAAGGCCACCCTGGGCTACATGAGAGAAACAGAACCAGGCATTGGTGACACATGCCTTTAATCCCAGGAAGTAATATGGCAGGACACAGAAAGGTATATAAGGCGTGAGGAAACAGGAACTCGCTCTCTTGAGGCTGAAGATTTTGTAGAGGTAAGAACTAGTGGCTGGCTGTTCTGCTTCTCTGATCTTTCAGCTTTCACCCTGATATCTGGCTCTGTGTTTTTTATTATAAGACCACCTAAGATTCATGTTATAATTTCAATTTTCCGTAATAGATAATTTTAAAGAGGTTTAATGTTATATCAAGTTGCTTTTCCACTTTTTGTTGACACATCTTTTCCTTATTAGCTTGTGGAAGTCTGTGGCTATCAAAGGGGAAGTCAAAGTGTTTTTGTGATACAATTATATACCACAAACCAATCTATAGCCTTTATTATTCTGAAAGCCCATGGAACCCAGACCAGCTCAACTCTGTGGAGGTGCGGCTTTAATGTTCACAAATGGCTTTAGCAGAAGGTAATCCAGTTGCTAGTCCAAAGTATATATAGATACCAGTTACTTTCTGTTTTGTAAGTAATCCTGATAAGGGGCATATCAACCATCCTTGGGATACCAATTAATTTCTACCTAAATTTTATATATTCTCTTTACTCTAGTACATGGGGAAGCTTCATACTTTTAGAGATCCATGGGAGAGGAAGCATCTCTTTTTTTATTTTTTTATTATTTTTTTTAATTTTATTTGACATATCAACTACGGTTTCCACTTCCTCCTCTCCTCCTGTCCCCTCCCCCACCTCTTTTTTAACCGCCATCCACTCCTCAGAAATGATAAGGCCTCCCATGGGAGTCAACAATGCATGGCGTACAAGTTAAGGCAGGACCAAGTTCCTCCCTCTTACATCAAGGCTGAGGAAGGCATCCCACCATAGGGAATAGGTTCCAAAAAGCCAGATCATGTGCCAGGGACAGATCCTGGTCTCACTGCTAGGGGCCCTACAAACAGACCAAGCTACACAACTGTCACCAGCATCTCTTTCTTTAGAAGCTTAAGTGTACCACCATTCTTATATACAAGATTAGTCCTATCTCCAGAGTTTGGATCTCATCTTCCCTTCTTAGATACCCTATACTTTAGCTCTCTCCTCCCTCTTCTACATCTCTATGCTTCTTTCTCGTAGCATGTCTGTATTAACATATACACATTTCTAAGCACCTACCATCATTATAGAGAACTTCCCTATTAATATGTACACATTCCCAAGTATCTATTGTCATTATAAAAAAGTTCCTTTGGAGGCTGGAGAGATGGCTCAACAGGTAAGAGCACCACCTGCTCTTCCAGAGGACCCAGATTCGATTCCTAGCACCCACATAATGGGTCACAAATATCTGTAACTCTAGTACCACGGGACTTAACACCCTTTTTGGCCTCTGCAGGCACCAGGCATGCATGTGGTGCACAGATACACATGGAGGCAAAACACATATACATTAAAATAAAAATAAGGGTATAAATAAATTATATTTATTTGGCAGTATGCCAAACTGCTATTAAGAGAAGTTCTCCCACCAGCAATGGTTATGCTGTGTTCAGTTGATAGCCCTGGGAGATCTGCTCATTTCTGAAGGGAAATGGAGGAGGTATAGATCTGGGGCAGGGGCAAGGTATAGGGGGATGGGGAGCAGTGGAGGGAAGGGAAATTGTGCTTGGGATAAAAATGTATGAGAGAAGAATTAAACAAGGAGAAAAGCAAAAGACAGAAAAATGCTCCCTTAGTTGTATGTGACCTTCCAGCTGCTATCAGGTTATCCCCTTATGCTCTCATTACTGCAACATCCAATGTCCAAGTTATACATTGTCGTAGAACAAATCACTCCCTAAGTTGGGTCTTAATAACTATCTTATTGTACTCATGATTGTGTAGGTGAGGATCTGGATGAGACTTACTGTAAAATTCCTCAGCTTCCTATCTACTGAGCAACTATGGTACCCAGCTGGTTGGCTAATTGGTCTGGAGGAACTCAGACGGCCTCATTCAAATGCCTGTCCAGACCTGGAAATCTGGGCTGAGCTAGCATGCTCTTTTTTCCATGGCATCTCTGGGCTCCTCCACTTTTTCTGATTAGCAAGGTAATTAGACTTACATGGTTGTTCATGGCACCAAAATGCCAAAGCAAAAGTTGCAAGGCATCTTACACATACTGTTTTTTTTAAGTGTTTTTTTTTTTGGTCTTTCGAGACAGGGTTTCTCTGTGTAGCTTTGCGCCTTTCCTGGAACTCACTTGGTAGCCCAGGCTGGCCTCGAACTCACAGAGATCCGCCTGGCTCTGCCTCCCGAGTGCTGGGATTAAAGGCGTGCGCCACCATCGCCCGGCTTTTTAAGTGTTTTTGGAAAATTTTCATATGTGAGTACTGCATGTACATCACTCCCTCTCCTCCCTCTTCCCCTCCTGTTCCCCCTTCCTAATTCATGGCCTCTCCATTAATTACTATTATTACATGTATATTCATCTGTATGTGTGCATGTACATGTTTATATAACCTAACTACATTTAGCTTTGTTTGTATGGTATATATGACTAGGATTGACCACTTGGGTTTAGACAACCTCTGTGAAAGCTCATCTGTAGAGGAAACTGATTCACCCTATCTCAGCAGCCATTGGCCACTTGTAGCTTGTGATCTAGAGGTGGGACCTTATGAGAATATGTGCCCCTATTCGTGGTGGCATGCCAAATGGTGGTGTCTTTATGCTTGCTGGTTTTGTTCAGGCAAACATACTGTTGAGAGTTTATGGATACATTTTCCTCTGTCATGTGTATATGTGTATGGGATATTATATAACAACAGATATCCTGGTCTTATGGTTCTGACAACCTTCCCACCTCCTCTTATGTGATTTCTCTGGACCTTAGGTGCAGGGTTCCATTCCAGATGGATCAGTTGGAGTTGGGTACCCAACTCCATTCCTTTCACATTCTTCGCATTCTAACCAGTAGTGGATCTCTCTATCTCTATATTAGTCTCTATCTGTTATAAAAAGCTTCTTTTTGTTTATTTATTTGTGTGTGTGTGTGTGTGTGTGTGTGTGTGTGTGTGTGTGTGTGTGTGTGTAGGTAGGTAAATAGGGTCTCACTATGTAGTGCTAGCTGGACTGGAATTCAATATGTAGATCAGGCTGGCCTAGTTTAATAGAGATCTACCTGCCTTTGCCTCTCAAATGCTGGGATTAAAGAAATGTGACATCACACCTGTCTAAAAGGCTTTTTGATGAGGGATGTAGGCTACACTTACATGTAAACTTTATGAAGTTAAGCACTATCAATTCCATATACACTTTCAGTTAAAACTACTCAGAGGACCCACCAAATTCAAGGGCAAGGGACCACACAGTGGGATGGCTACTCGGGAGAATGGTTAGTAGGGACTACATGATGCAGTTTACCTCCCCTATGAACTCCTGAAACCATAACAAAATGGTTGTGCCCCGTCACTGAACTCAAACTACAAATGTGAGATGATAAACCTTTTGCTGTCAGATCTGACATATGCCACACAACGCTTGGTTTCAGAGAATTGGAACCTACTGAACATTAACGGGTTGAAAAATCTCGTCCTTGACTTCTACACATAATCTTTTAAAATTTACCTTTTATTTTTATAGCTAATTCTCAATTTCCCAAACTGACCCATTTATTATTCTCTCCCCTTTAGGCTTTTTATTGCTTCTTTTCTCATCTGGACATTTCATCCGTGCCTATAACCTCATCTATCACTCAATGTATATCTTTATTCCACAGTTCTGTCCAGTCTTCCAAATTCCTGAGCATTTTACCTAGATGCCTCACAGATATTTCATACAGGGCCAAAGCTAAAACATTCTCTCCCTTAAACTTGTTATTTTTTCCCTTATCTTCTTAATCCTATATTTACCATATGCCTAGGTGCCCAAAGGAGAAATCTGGGTGTCATTTTTAACACTCTCTTCCCTAGATGCATTGAGTCCCTCATCCCTATTTAAGTTTTTCAAGAGCTTGTCTATTGATCCACTCCTTTCTGTCATAGACATCAGGTCTGGCAGAGGCTTGTGTGGGAGTCTTGTTCTGTCCATCTGACTTATAGACTGCATAGAAATGACAGTTTACTTCAAGTTTAACACTGTTTTTTTTTTTTAATTCAGAGATATTAGGATAGGGAATACTTGATCCTTGAAGCTCTTCATGGGAGAGACACTTGGGTTGCCTGCAGTGAAACTCTACCTACTTATGGGGAGGCTATATGACTTAATGAAAACCCCCAAGCAGGCAATTGTCAAACTTCTCATTCCTCCGAGCATGTCGATTGAAAATGTCATCACCCATTTTTTATATGCTTAGAAACGCTGCCGTCTCAAGTCACATCATGTGAATCAAACATGTATGCATTTTTGCTGCACCACCAGAGTATTCGTGTTATATGTGCCACAGGTTGTATAACACAGCCCACACAGGTTGTGATTTCCACTTAGTGCCCGAGTAGCTCCTATGAAACTAACCTGTGATCAGATATAACAACTGTATACTCTGGAGAAAAATATTAAAAAAAAAACTACATAAAAGTATTGACAAGTAACCTGAAGCAGTAAGAAACTCAAACTCAAAGAAAACTGGCATTTCAAAGAAAAGGTCAGAACTAGATGAGATCCCCATTTTTTAGGCTTTTAGCTACAACATAGCCCTAAGTCATGTTCCTGAGTGGTGGCTTAAAGTGAACCTTACTGGCTTGAAGATCAGAGGACAGAGTTCAGGGTTTTCATATGAGCTGGAAAGTGTGGAGGGTAAACTTCTGGAATGGAGGGAGCCTGATAGGAAGGATCCAGATTCGGCAGAGTAACTGCCCATGTTTCCTGCTGACCTTTGAAATATGCGGATGTAGCACCATCTCTAAACAGCCTAGATAAAGGCTAAACAAACTCAGTTCCACTTGTTCTTCACAGAGGTTGACGGTGTTCTCCGATTTCTGTCCACTTGACTACCTACTAAAACATAAACAAAATATCAACACTCTTCATAGGGACACAATGGTGCCCATAGTCTGTAGAAAGTCTTTTACAATGTCCACAAGACAAACCAGAATGATTGAATTTACATAGGGAACAGGAAAATGTGATCTGTATTGAAAAGTTAAGGCACTCAAAAAGATTGATCTCAAAATGACCAATGCCAGATTAGCAGACAAAGGTTTTTTTTTGTTGTTGTTGTTTTGTTTGTTTGTTGTTATTTTTTTCAAGACAGGGGTTCTCTGTGTAGCAGCACTAGCTGTCCTAGGACTCCCTCTGTAAACCAGGCTGGGCTTGAACTCACAAAGCTCCATCTGCCTCTGCCTCCGGAGTGCTGGGGTAAAAGGTGTTCACCACCACCACCTGGGTGCAGATAAGGATTTTTCTTTTTTAAATGTAATTCTTTTTTTCTTTTTTTCTTTTTGGTTTTTCACGACAGGGTTTCTCTGTGTAGTTTTGGTACCTGTCCTGGATCTCACTCTGTAGACCAGGCTGGCCTCGAACTCACAGAGATCCGCCTAGCTCTGCCTCCTGAGTGCTAGGATTAAAGGTGTATGCCACCACCACCTGGCAAATATAATTCTTTATTGATTCTTTGGAAATTTCACATCATGTACCCTAATCCTGCTGACCTCCCAGTCCCTAGCCATCTACCCCTCACTCCTGCAGTATGTCCCCCCAAAAAAAATTAAAACCAAACAAAACACTCACCTCACTCCTCCATCTTTCCAACACCTCTTCATTCATCCTAGTGGCGTCCAGGAGCTACAGGGTGTCATGTAGTACATCCTTTTGTTCAATCAGCCCCATTACAATGAGTCATTGATCTGATTCAAGGCCTCTCTCTTCTGGTACACAGTCATCACTGGGCCTTCATCAAAACGCCTCTCAGATATCCTGTTGTTGCCCTGAGTCATGGGGAGCCTGTGGTTATCATTCTGTAGGATCAGATCCTTCCAGAAAGTCATAGATGGGGCAGCTGTTAGGGTGGGCCAACTCAAGGCCCAGGATGTGGGTCTGAGTCGTAGCCCAGCTGGTTGGTCCAGGCCATTGGGATCACCCTCTTATGTGAGGGACAGAGCCAGCTCTCCTAAGCCCATGCCATTGGGACCAGCTCTCCCATGCCTGTGGTGAGGGGTGGGACCATCTCTCCCGAGTGCTGGGGTTAGCTCTCCCATGGGGGGAAGGCAGCACCAGCTCTCCTACTACAGTGTCTAGCGATGGGCAGGGCCAACTATCCTGGGGCCAGTGAGGGATATGGTTGACTCAGCATGGCTCTCGGATTTCAGCATGCATGATTCCTATGACTCCCTGAGGTAACACAAGCCATGGACATAAGCCCAGCCCCTGGCTGCTGTTGGGCCATGGACCCAGACATGACCCACAGCAACAGTATGGGCCCAGCCCCATGTGGCTGTGCAGGCCACTTGGACTGGCATGGCCCTCATGGCAACAAGGTCTGTGTATACCAACATGGCCACAGGTGGTGGCCCAGACCCCTGGCATCAACATTGCCTTTGATGGTATCAGGAGCCATGGATATCAACTCAGACCCTGGCTGCTGTTGGGCCACGGACCCAGACATCACCTTGGCACCAGACTTGGCCCAAATGACACCATGACCCCAGCAGCAGCATAGCCTTTGGACGCCAACATGGCTACAGGGTATGGCTAGACCCTAGGCATCCGTGTGGTCTTTGGTGGCACCACAGGCTACAGACATCACAGACTCTGACTGTGATAGGACCACGGACCCAAACATGGTCCCCGGTAGCAACCCAGGCTCAGATACCATGGCCCCAGGTGGCAGTGCAGGCCACCCAGATCGTCATGGCCCCTGCAGCAGAAAAACCCTTAGACACCAACATGGCTCCAGGTGGCAGACCAGACCCCTGGCATCAGCACGGCCTTCAATGGCACCTGGAGCAATGGACATCAACTCAGACCCTGGCTGAAATAGGGCCATGGGCATAGACAGAGCCCTAGGTAGCAGCCCTGACCTGGACAACACCATGGCCCCAGGTGGCAGCATAGGCAGCTCACATTGGCATGGCCCTGGTGGCGGCATGGCCATATGGTCTGGGGTCAGATGTCACCTTGGCTCCAGGTGGCAGCACAGGCCACTCTGATCGGTAAGACTCCAGCAGCAGTGTAGCACTTGGACACCAACATGGCTCCAGGTAGCAGACCAGACCCCTGGCATCAGCATGACCTTTGATGGTATCATGAGCCACAGCCATCCACAGAGACCCTGGCTGCTGTAGGGCCATGGACCAAGACATGGCCCTCAGGAGCAGTCCAGTTCCAGATGTTGCCATGGCACCTTATGTGGCAGTGCAGACCATTCAGATCTGTATGGCCCTGCAGCACCCTCAGATCCCCACCTGGCCTCAGGTGACAACCCAGACCCCAGGTATTTGCATGGATATCAACACAGACCCTGGCTGCAATAAGGCTACGGACCCAGACATGGCCACTCGCCACAGCCTGGGCTTGGATGTCACCATGGCCCCGGGTGGAAGAATAGGCCATCTAGATTGATACGGCCCCAGTGGAAACATGGTCCTAGGAGACCAACATTGACTCAGGTGTTTGAACAGACCCCAGTCATCTGCCTAACCTTTAGTGGTTACTGAAGCCATAGACATTAACATAGACCCTGGGTGTTGCAGGGTCATAGACACTCTCCCCCCACCCCCCACTGCAGCAGCTCAGGCCTGGATGTCATCATATCTTCCAGTGGCAGCATAGGCCATTCAGATTAACATGGCCCTGGTGGTAGCATGGCCCTCGGACACCAAAATGGCTACAGGTGGCATCCCACACCCCAGGCATCCCCATGCCCTTGGTGGCAACATGGGTCATGGACATCAACATAGACCCTGCCTGTTGCAGGCCCAGACATGACCGTAGGTGGTAGCACAGGCCTGGACATCACCCTGGTCCCAGGTGGCAAGCAGGCCACCAACATCAGCCCATTCCTCACTGCCCTAGCTTCCTCAGAACTGCCTCTTACCATTGAACCATTCCACCTCTCATGGACCATTCCACCTCTCTTTCTCCCCCATTTCTCCACCATATACTTGCTCACCATAATGGCACCTGACTGCTCAGCACCTGCATGTGGATGCTTCAGGCAGCCCGGACCATGTGGACCCAGGCTGCCCCATGGATCAGACAAAGTTTATTAAGCAGCTTTGTTACTATGCCAAATGATAGAGAGGGAAAATGCTTACTCATAACATTTTCATTTCCCACAGCCAATTAAGGCAAAACAATGAAGTCCTCAAGAACAGATGTTAGAGCCAGGCCTGGGAGCACGGGCCTGTAATTCCGGCTACTTGGAGGGCTGAGGCAGGAGGATAGCAAGTTGAAGAACTGCTTAGGTTCATGGTTAGTCTTTGGTAGTTAATGAGATCTTTTAGATATGGTCAGTAGTAGAGTGCTTAGGGAAAGCCATAGGTTTAATCTCCTGGAGGGAGCAGGGAGGTGACTGCTAGCCAAATCACAAGAGTTTGGAATATAGGTTTTTCCAATTACTAGTTCTGTTCATCAAATGTCTTTATCTCTATGTTCCTGTTTTATCATGCACAAAATGACGTTAATGATGCTTATCTATCTCATAGGTTTATTGTGAGGATTTAACAAGATAACTCAAATGGTTATTAATAATGCTTACGGTATGGCTCACTGAGTATTCCTATTTCTTTCAGGGCTTGCCAATTTTTTCTGCTAGAGATCTTCAGAGATGGTACCTTTCTCCACAACTTAAGTGCCCCTTCACTTCACTTTGATAGTTTCTGTCTCCAGTCCTCTTCCTCCATAGGATTCCCTATGCTGCGCCAGCCTGACCTTTGTAAACCTTATTCTGACCAGGTCATTCCTATCTGAAAACTACTGATGACTCTCCATTATCTACAAAATGGAGCCCAGAGTACTTGGATCTGATAACCAAGCTCCTTTTGGATCTGGACTGTCTTAGGGTTTCTATGGCTGGGACAAAACACCATAACCAAAAAGCAAGTTGGGGAGGAAAGGGTTTATTTGACTTACACTTCAGCATGGATGTTCAAAATTAAAGGGAGTCAGGACAGGAACTCAAGCAGAGCAGGAACCTGGAGGCAGGAGCTGATGCAGAGGCCATGGAGGGTGCTGCTTACTGGCTTGCTCATCATGGCTTGCTCAGCCTGCTTTCTTATAGAACCCAGCCCAGGGATGGCACCACTGACCATGGGCTGGGCCCTCTCCCATTGATCACTGATTAAGAAAATAGCTTACAGCTAGATTTCTTCAAGGAATTTCCTCAACTGAGGCTCCTTCCTCTTTGATAACTCTAGCTTGTGTCAAATTGACACACTAAACTGCCTATACGAGGAACTAACTAGCCTTTCTGGACTCACATCCTGCCAAAACCCTGTACATCTCGGCCACATGGAAATTTTCCTTACCATCACCTCCCTAGCTGAGTATAAAGTGCCACATGCTCCTGCTCTGTCCTTTCTGAAGCCTCTCCTCCTTTGGCTGCAATGACACCACACTGTCTTGGTTTTCCTCTAATCTCTATGTCTATTCCTTTTCTATCTTCCTCTTGGGATTCTAATTTTCCGATTACTTGATAAATGTAAGGGTTTCTTAAAGTTTCAGTACATATTCTGTCAGTGAATGATGGCATCTAATTTTAAGCCCACCTATGTACTTAGGACTCTCTGATTTTCATTCCTGACTTCTCTCTTAAGTTTTGATCTCCCAAAACCTGACAGATGGCAAATTCCTAGTAGTCACCTCAAGCTTAGCATGGCCCGAACTGAACTGATCTCTCCTACCTCAAACCCGCTTCCCAGTTTCCGCTCTGAATCTTCAAGGGGCATCACTATTACCCAAGCCTGAAGCTCCTCATTCTCCACATAGGTATGGTTCCCAAATTGTGCACACTTGTTCTCAGTAAATCTCCCTTCTGTCTTTTCTGTCATCACCCTAGTTCTGAACTTCATCCTCTCTAGTGGGAACTCTACAGTAGACGACTCCCTGCGTCCAATTTTCCATGTTTCCAAAAAGAGAGCAACCTTTATCTAACTCCAATAAAAACCTTATCATGGAACAGCCATGCTAAAAATTTCACTGGTTACTACAGGCAAGTTAGAAAAAAAGGACACTCCTTCCTACTATGTACCAGTATCTATGGTATGTGTAAGATGTGCAATGTTGACGATGAAATGCTCCCTGCCTTTAAATAAGAGGACAGAGGGATAAAAACACACTAGTGATATAAGGCTAGTAACGGATATAGTTACAGAACATCATAGGAACACAAGACAGAACTCCTTGAAGACAAAGATGTATTTATGGCTTCCAAAAATCTGTAACCCCATCATGAGAACTAACTGACTCAGCAGTGAATTTCACCTGAATACTGAATAAATGCTCTTCTCTTGTCCTGAGCTTCCCTCTACAAAAAAATAGTTCATAGTTCACACTTTAAATGAATCCAAAGGATAAACTTTGGATGGATCACGATTTAAATAAACCAACAGCAAACTTTTGGTAGTGTGCTTTTTAAATGTCACAAGCAAGTAATGAACACTGAACAGATATGTGACTGAATTTTAAGTTTGCTATGAGTGTAATGAAAGGGGATGGAAGAAAAAACCCTGACTCAGGAGCTATACACAAGTGAAAGTCCCACAGCATATTTGGGACATGAGCCAGAGGGAAAAAAAAAAAATTTCTTTGTAACACCAGAACCTAAGAAACATGCCCTGACTTTGAAACCAGTGCCAAAGAAACACACTTTCACTCTAGAATCACAGCCAGTGAAAGAAATATGCTCTAGCATTACAATAATAGTCAAAAAGCTAAGAAAGGCAAGTGAAAGAAACAGTTTGGCTCTGAGAGCACAGCCATCTCTGCC